TAGGTAGTCATTTCACTACTGAACCATAGAAAAACAGTGGAAATCATTTCCTCTCAATTATTAAAAGAATGAAGCTGAGAATTTTTAATCAAAAGCAAAGCATCATACAGTTATATAATTGTAGGCTAGCAGGAGCTCATTTTGTATTTAAGAATGATAGATACAGTTCAGCAGGCCTGCCTTTAAGCCATCCTCAATTGATAAGCAATTTGCATATTTTAAAGATCCTCAAAGATAGATATTCCAGTTCTCAGTTAAATAACCTTCAGCCTGGGGAAATTTTAACCTTGTCGTTAACTTTCATGTGAGTTTGAGTTTTATTAACCTCAATGGAAATGGCATGTATAGACTCAAAGAGTAAATCATCCACTCTACTGCCAAAACAATCTTCTAAGGCACAAGTCCGATCACATCACCCTCCTAAACAGAAGCCTTCATGTAGGTCCCTATTATCTATAGCAGTGGTCTCCAAACTTTTTAAAATCTGCATCTCTATCATCAGAAGGTTGTGTAGCATAGAACCGAAGATGTGTATATTTACTTATTTATAAATTGTATGTATGTACTACTGTACTAGTAATTATGTACATTAAAAAAAAAACTTGCACAGAAAATAAAAGTGTTAGAAGGATAAGATAAGGAAGAAATAGTATTTAACCCTAATGGCAATAAGAAGCCCCTGGAGTTTATTGAATGTGGGTGGGGAGACGCAGGGAGGTGGGGAAAACAGCATTGTCAGGCCTGAGCTTTAGGAAAATCATTGTGGTTATATTGAAGATAAACTGGAATGGAGAGAGACTAAAAACAGGGAGACCAAATAGGAAGATAATCTAGACAAAAGGTAAAGGTCTGACCTAGGGGGTGGCTTTGTGAACAGATGGAGGCAAGGGAAAGGTGAGGGTAGACATAAAATGTTTTGGCAACTGATAAGATACATGGATATTGAGTGAGGGATTGTGAGAAGTTGAAAATGGCACTGAGGTATGTAAATCTATATGACTAAGGATAATAATGCCCTGGAAAATAATGGTAAGGCTTGGAAAATAGGTGGGTTTGAGGAAATAGGTAATGTAATGATATCTCTGATATAGCTCACAACTCATCCATGCTTACTCATTCGGCATGCCTCATTCTGTCCCATCCATTATTAAAGGGTGCCCGATGCAGTCTTAAGGTGATTAATTAGAGTCAGGGGGGTAAAGGAAGAATATCCTAATGGCAGAGCTGTTGTGGGTCATGGTTAGTTTAGGTTCTATCTGCCCCTGTTCAGAACAGGAAGGTTCAAAGCTTTCACAGTAGAGGAAGGAGAATTGAGTCATAAGAGTTGGTATAGTTGTGCTGTAGACAAGCCCAAGAATTGACTATTGCACTGAGGATTATATTCAACTGGTCTTTTTATCTTCTAATTGGTTTATCACATGACTTAGGGTGTCACAATCACTCCCCTCAAGGTGTCCTGGCCCCTATTTTGGAAACTACAAATTGATAGGATAAAATACAAACTCATGACCCTCTTCATTCCCTTTCACACACTAGTTCCAGGAACTTTGGATTACTATTTTTCCCCCAAACATATCTCCCATGCCATTTCTGGAATTCACTCCTACTTCATCCCTACCTATCAATATAATTTTCTTACTTCAAGGCTCAGCTCAGATGCTATTTCCCGAATATAACATTATTGGATACCACCAAGCTGAAAGTATTCTTCCCCTCCTCAAATACTCCTTGAGAACCTTGCCTGGATATCTCTTTTGCCCCCATCACATTCTACCTTGTATTATATTTAACTGTAAGTAAGCCTTATCCAGGCCTCTAGGCGGCACTGTAAATAGAGTGTGCTGGGCCTAGAGTCAGAAAGACTCATCTTGTGGGTTCAAATCTGGCCTTAGGCCAGCTATGTGACCCTGAGCAAGTCACTTAACCCTATTTGCCTCAGTTTCTCATCTGCAAAATGAGCTGGAGAAGGAAATGGCAAACGACTCCAGTATCTTTGCTAAGAAAACCCCAAATGGGGTCACAAAAAGCAGGACACGAAATGAAAATTACCTGCCCCTTAAGTAGGTATAAAGCTCCTGTAGTTCAGGCATAGTGTCATTTTTTAAAAAGTCTATCCCCTAGTGTTACACACAGTAGGCATTTTGTGGAATTGAACTGGAAGGAACCCTTAACTGAATCACCTCTACAATATATCTGATAAATGATCATCGGATAACTTACTTCCATTTTATTATTAACCCCAGACTGCAAATCAGAAGTCAAATTAGAGTTCTAGTTCTGTCATTACTAATCCTCTTTGAAGAACTCATTTAACCTTTATGCATCTCAGTTTCCTCATTTGTAAAAATAAAGTATGTCCCTTCCAGCTCAAAGTGTATGACTTCATAAATTATCCTTCCATCATTTCAACTGTGCAAAGAGGTATTTATTAAGACATTTTACTTCAAATTTGACTTCAGAGCTTGAGATTCATAAGAACCTGTACCTATATCCTATCTTTTTTTTTTAATATTTGCCTCTTCCTGATGTTAGCTCAGCAGTTCATGTGCCTCTCTCCCCATTCAAAAAAATAAGACTGAAGCAGCTAATACTAGAAACTTAGGGTAAATGCAAGAGGCCAAGGAGCAATAAGAATTTGGAATAGAAATAAAAAAGACCTATTTTTACAGTCAGAGTAAGGACACAAAAGTGAGAGGAGAAAGGATACAAGTGTAAAAGTCCAGGTATGCAGCCAGAGGTTTCTGACCAAAGGTCCTGTGGGTATCCAGTGCTTCTGAATACAACACTTTATGTACTCAATTATTAATTTTCTCCTCAACTTCTCTGTCAGCTAAACTCATGTGTATTATTTCAGTTTCTTTTTAGCTTCTTTTTTAAAACAAACTTTCATTTACTTACATTGTGCCTTACTATGCTCATTTATATTTATGGATTTGACTGTTCCATTCATGAAAAGGATTCAGTAACCCAGCACTTACTTTATCTTTACTGTATACTCAGGGATTCACTTCCATGAAATAAATTTCCCAAACATAAATTCACTGTGCTCTCTAACCTCAACCTTTGAATTGATTCAGAAATATTTGCCTTAAAAGACTTTACCAGTGATTTATTTGTAAAGGAAAATTTGTGCAATACTCCAGTTTCTCTTACTGCGTAGTGAATTGTCATGACTGACGAATGCTAATTGAAGTCCCAACTTACCCTCTCCCCCAAAATATAATTTATCTCCAAACCACCTAGGATGGGGGGGGGGGGGGAGGCATGGCCAGTGAACGAAAGGGTTAAAAACAGTTTCTCAACTATAGTTTTTAAAAAATAAAACCTCAGAATTAAAAACCATTTAAGACAAATTAACTGGATCATTAAAGAAGTTTCTCAAACAAGGATGAGTCTTGGCTACAGCCCTACTGCCACCTTGGTTTCAAGCCAGCTGGTTTCTTCTTCACTGAGGTTGGGTGACTGCAGTAGCAGGACAGGCTGGTTCGATGGCAGCGGCGGCTCCTTGAGGTGAAAAAAAGAATAAGTTGCTGCAGGCACGTGATTTCCATCCAGACACTGCTTCCAGCGACCCAGATCTCGTCCCTGCCACCCATACACTGAGCAGGGTCGGGACGTAGGAAAAGCAGTAGACCTCGCTCCTTCCGCTTGCTCCTACGCTAGCTTTCATCCTGGTTCCCAGGCAATGATTAATTTCTTAGGAGATCGCCCTGGGGAGAATGTAAACATTGCACTGGAAGCAATCAGGAAGAATCCTTGACTAGCTTTCATACAGTTAATGGCCTCAGTAGTTATAGCGGGGGGCATTTCGGTTTGGAGCCCCCGCCCCCAACTCCGAGATGTCCTCCCTTTACCTAGTTGCCCCCTTCCAAATCGGCTGTGCTGCACCCGGAGGCGTAGGTAATGCGCAACTAAATGCAAATCCCTGGTTACTTTCACTAGCAGTGAGTCATTTTCCTGGGGATCGCTCTAGGGAAAAGGTAATCGGGCTTGTGCTTAGGTGCTCTAGGCTTTCTTTCTTTCTTTTTTTTTCTTCCCACTCTGGAGTACAGCAGAGGAGGCGGTGGCAGCGGCAAACGGCGGCGGCAGCGGAGGCGAGCCCAGCACGGGCTCCCAGTACAGTGATGTGGCAGCAGCCGGTCGGATCACGTTGCTAGCCCTGTGCTTGTACCAGTTTGAGACAGGCTTAAGGAAAGAGGCTTTTTAGGTGCCAGAGGTTGTAAAACGTGGGTTGTGCACACTTCCAGTGTTCATGAGGAGAAGAGGGGAGGAGAAGGGCTGAGGCGCATAACTATACCCCAGGCCCTGAAAGGCAGCAGAGTTTAGAATTATTAATTCTGCAGTTTTTCCGTGGTGTATTCCCTCTACGGTGGCATCCTTCAGTTTTCCCTCCCTTCCCCCCTGTGTTCTCCAGGGAACTAAAAGCAGAAAAGGGACTCAAATCTCCTGGTCTCATTGGCTGTCGTGATTAGGGACTCCGCAATTCGGGTGCTAGGGGAAGTTTAGGTGGCATAGGGACACGATATTGCGGAAAGACATTTGGATTATGACATTCGGACCCTGTGACTACAATGTTAATTATTATTCTTTATTTTTAAAGGGATCAGATTACAAATGGTTCCTCTGGCAGCTGAGACCCCACTGGAGCCAAAGGGTCTCCCCTTGCCTCCCCCTTCCTCTGCCCCACCACTGGTCTTTGAGCAAACAATTCTCAAAAATCCCCTTCGGGACCGAAGTTTACCCTTCGCCAATTCTCGTTCTTAGATCCAGGAGACCAGAGTAGGCGGTGGAATAGCCCAAGCCATGTTAATGCACCGTAATGACGGGCCCAAGGAGTCGTATTTCCGTGCGGGAGGAAGCCCTGGCTCCCCCACACCTCGTCCTCTCCACCCGCCTCCTCCTGCCTTCACCTTCCCGCCTTTTAGAAGGAGAATAGCTTGGCCAAAGTTGTTTTTCCTTGCTGGTGCCCTAATCAGGTACTCTAGCCTCTTCGCTCAGTCTCTCCTCGCCCTCCGTCCCCCTACAGTTTCCCCCTCCTTCCTCATCTTTCTTGCCCTTCCTCCTCCTCCTTCCTTCCCTTCCCCTCCCCCCAGTCTGGACCGCGGATGGTACGTTCCGCACGTGAGCTGGGTGCTGGTCTGGCTGGCGACGCGCGTGCCCTGTGGCCAAACACTGAATAGAGCGAGTGCAAACTACCAGCACTGTATGTGTGTGTGTGAGTGTGTGTGTGTGAGTGTGTGTGTGTGTGTGTGTGTGTGTGTGAGTGAGAGAGAGAGAGAGAGAGAGAGAGAGAGAGAGAGATTTGAGTCAGGCTAGAGGGAGACCAACTGCTTCACACTTTAAACACTGCTGCACTGGAGAGGAAGAGAGAGAGAGAGCTGGAGGCTCACAGATTTCCCCCAAGATCTCCCAGGAGCACCGTCCCGCAAATTAGAAAACGAAACCCCAAAAATTGCAACAAAAAAGAAACCAGCAGCTGTTGCCAAACATGGACGAAGGAATCTCTCGTTTGCAAGAGAGACAGTTAATGGAACATAGAGATTTTATAGGGTAAGGTGCACGCACCCTTACGAATATCTGTCTCGCCTTCTGTTTTCTTCTCTTATCTTCTCCAGAAAGTGGTAAGGCGCCGGAGAGAGCAAAGATCCTGCCAGAATTGGTATTTGATGCTTATTTCTGTTTTGCAGACTGGACTATTCATCCTTGTATATGTGTAAACCCAAAAGGGGAATGAAGAGAGACGAAAGCAAGGTAAGAATAAGTTTCTGATGAGCTTTATAACCTGCCTGGATAGTTAATTAGGGTTCTTCACTTCAAAGCAAATCGCTAAACTGCAACAATACTTCAACCTTTTGGCTTCTTCTAACTATGAATTTTAATTAGCTTGACGGATAACTTGCATAAGGGAAGGTTAAACACTATACCTGCATTTTAATTGCAGTCCAGTACAGAACAGTAGAAAGAGGTATCTTGCCTTGTCATACAGTATGTGTTCTTGGTGGATTGAATATAGTATTGATCTCTTTTTCTTCCTCAATTTTTATATATTAAGGAGACCTACAAACTACCACACAGATTGATAGAAAAGAAAAGACGAGACAGAATTAATGAATGCATTGCTCAGCTTAAAGACTTATTGCCAGAACATTTGAAATTGACGGTAAGTAAAATTCCTTTCTACACTAAGGGGATTTATAACAGCCTGGTAAAGAAACTCCTCCAGATTTAAGAATAAATGTAAATATTTGATGTCTGACAGCAACTTATGCTGTATTGTTAGAGTTTACCACAAACTCAGCTGAATGGTGTATGCTCACCAAAAAAGCACGCAATCATTTTTAACCTGCCTTGTATAAGTAAGCCAGGTTAAAAATACTTCTTTCAAAGGGAGTTTAAGTTCCAGTGATGAATGGAAAATTATTGGGGCCAAATGTATTTTGTTAAATAACCATGAGCCCCTTTCTTCTTCGCCCCACTGCAGACTCTAGGGCATCTGGAGAAAGCAGTAGTTTTGGAATTAACTTTGAAACATTTGAAGGCGTTGACAGCCTTGACAGAGCAGCAGCATCAGAAGATAATTGCTTTACAAAATGGTAAGTCAGTTTGAGGAATGCCAACACAGGAATTTATTTGCTCTTAGCCCACAGAGGTGCAATTATGAAGGGTTTTTTTTTTCTCCTCTGTGGGGTGTCAAGCTTACTTTTTTTTTTTAAAGAGTAACTTGTTCACTAGAAGTAATGGTTTACTGGTATTAAAGATTTCAAAATTCCTAAGAGGCAGATTTTTATTTTAAGTAGTGGTCAAAGCTTCACTCTGGTTTGTCTCTTTATTCTAGAGCAATAACACCCCCTCCCAATACCATAGCAACTGGTGAACTTAGCAGGTTATTGATTATTGAAGACAGACCTATAGCACACTAGTCAATGCCCAGTGCCCACGTGATAGCCAGATGCTTTAACGTTAGTGTTTTTCTTTTCTGCCATTTTTCTTCCCTCACCCACAACCTCCCATTCCCGATCCTCTCTTCCTCATCCTAGGGGAGCGATCTATGAAATCTCCCATTCAGGCCGACTTGGATTCTTTCCATTCGGGATTTCAAACATGCGCCAAAGAAGTCATGCAATACCTTTCTCGGTTTGAAAGCTGGACGCCCAGGGAGCAGAGATGTGCCCAGCTAATCAACCACTTGCACTCCGTTTCCACTCAGTTTTTACCCAGCCCCCAGCTGTTGACTCAACAGGTCCCTGTGAGCAAAGGAAACACTTCCTCCTCCTCCTCCTCCTCCACCACCACCACCACCACCACTTCTTCCTCCTCCTCCTCCTCCTCTTCTATCGCAACACCCCCCTCCTCCTTCTTGTCTGTGAACGCCTCTCAGGATCGCACCGTGCAGAAGCTGGAGCCCCAGACAAACTGTGTCCCTGTGATTCAGAGGACTCAACCTAGCTCTGAACTCGCTGGGGAGAATGACACGGACACTGACAGCGGCTATGGTGGGGAGGGCGAGGCCCGGCCTGACCGGGAGAAATACCATGCCCTTGGGGGAAGTCGTGTCACCATTAAGCAGGAGCCCCCAGGGGAAGACTCCCCAGAGCCCAAAAGGATGAAATTGGATTGCGGCGAGAGCAGCAGTCCTGGAGGCAGCGCAGCCGCAGCTCTCCTGGGGCCGAATCCGGCCGCTGCCCTGCTGAGACCCGACGCCGCACTGCTGAGCTCTCTAGTGGCCTTTGGAGGAGGCGGGGGGACTCCCTTTGGGCAACCGGCGGCGGCAGCAGCGGCGGCCCCCTTCTGCCTACCCTTCTACTTCATCTCCCCTTCGGCAGCAGCTGCTTACATGCAGCCTTTCTTGGATAAGAGCAACCTGGAAAAATACCTGTACCCTGCTGCGGCAGCCCCCATCCCCCTGCTCTACCCAGGCATTCCAGCCCAGGCTGCTGCGGCTGCTGCTGCTGCGGCGGCGGCCGCTGCTGCCTTCCCCTGCTTGTCCTCGGTGCTCTCGCCCCCACCTGAGAAGGCGAGCGCTGCCGCTCCAACCATCCTGCCTCCGGAGCTGGCTTCTCCTGTGGCCCCCCACCAGCACTTTCCCCTACCCCTTCACCCCTTCGCGCACCTCCCCTTCGCAGCTTCCTCCAGAGAGCCTGGACTGAGCTCGGACCTGGAGGCGTCATCTCAGGGGGATTCCTCCCAGCCTGGAAAGGAAAACCCTTGAAAGCTTTCCCATTTCGCAGGAAGGATGGGTGGTTAATCATAATAATATTAACAGTAATACTTAAAAGTACCCTTTTTTGTTTGCGTAATTTCAAGTTTCTGTGCGTCCTCAGTCCCCTCCCTCCTCCCCCCAACCAGGCTGCTGTAAAGATCCTGCGCTGTGGGTGTGTTTTTATTTTTGTTTTGTTTTGTTTACTGTCTTTTAAAAAATCAACTATTTAAGTTTTACACCCATTTGGACTGTGACAGTTTTAAGATGTCGAACATTGTTCATGAGTAAGGCAGGGCTAATATAGCTGAAAAGTTTCACTTCTGGCACGTCTGTAGTATCTGTTGGAATGTAATGGAGGTAACTGAAACAGAGAGTATACACTCAAAAAAAAAAAAAAAGGTGCTTGGAGCCAGGTTACAGCATCCGGTAATTAACCCACTGTATCTGTCCCCAGATAGCTCCTGCTTACTCTGAGTGGGTTCTCCACAAACTGGGAATGAGGATCTTTTAGACTTAATTTGCTATTCAGTATATAATGTTTAACTTTATTGAATCCATACATTGTCTGTTGTTTGGTAGTTTTGTTTTAAGAGAAGCAAAGATACAATTTCTCTCCAAATTAAATGTTGCACTTTGTTTTGAGTGGTTATATAAATATATATATATACATATATATGTATATGTATATATATATAGTGTTTCTACTTTCCACTTCTTGACTTGCACTTGACTTTGGGGTAGGTGTGTCGAAAAAAGCAAGAAGCACCCTTAGTACAATTTGTTAGCACTTTACTGAGAAATGGACCTTGAATCAATTGACTTACCTTAATTTCCTCTTAGACAAGATATAAATATATTTACAGCAAGTGCATTTGTACCCACACTGTTGTTGTTTTAAATCATTATGTTCCTGAGGTTTTTTTTAATCTTGCTGTTAAAAAAAAAAAGCCTGTACACTGAACTAAGAAAAACCTAAATTCTAAAAACTTAATATTCTTTAAAAAAAATTTATCCTAAATTCTAAATTGTATACAATACAAAAGCTAGTAGAGACATTTGAACTAGTCAGTGTTGACTGAAAATGTTATGAAGGTGTGGCATAAATCCCCATGAGGCCTTTCTATCTCCAGCTACTATGATTTCCCTTTCTGGAGACCATACCAGATACTAGATGATCACAAAGAAAGCTTTTAAAATAAGGTTTAAACCAAGACCTTGTCTAGATATTTTTAGTTTGTTGCCAAGGTAGCACTGTGAGAAATCTCACTTGAATGTTATGTAAGAGGTGAGACACAACAGTCTGACTATAAGTGAAGAAAATATCTGAGTCTTTTAGTCAGTTTGGTGCATTTGCTGCTGCTGTTGCTACTGTTTGCCTCAAACGCTGTGTTTAAACAACGTTAAATCTTACTAGCCTACAAGTTGGCTGTGTGTAAATAGTTGTTAATACATCCTATTAATGATGTCTGACATGCTATTTTTGTAGGGAGAAAATATGTGCTAATGATATTTTGAGTTAATATCTTTTGGGGAGGATTTGCTGAAAAGTTGCACTTTGTTACAATGCTTATGCTTGGTACAAGCTTATGCTGTCTTAAATTATTTAAAAAAAATAAATACTGTCTGCAAGAAACCAGCTGTTTTAGAACAGTTTAGTATGTGGCATACTAAAAATTGATCTTTATATTCCAGTATTTTCCAGCACTCCATAAATTCTATTACTTAAATATTTCCACACTATTTTGTGATTTTAAAATTCTTACCAAGTAATAAAAAATTTAATATGCAATATGAGGTTGTCTAATAATTAAAAATCCCACCTTAATAAATCATAAGGACTGAACAACTAGTACTAGTATCGTTACACAAATAAAAGTCATTATGACTTTTCAGGTATACAACTTTGCTTCAGGTTTGCTTGTTAGCATCCTTTTCTATTCTATTAAAACTACCTTCTGGGTGTGTGTCCACCTGATAGTGACACTTCTGGATGAAAAGTAGAAATTTTCATCAATCACCTGGTTGCTTTGTACGATGCTAAATTACCTGATATTTGGATGATTAATTGAATTTTCATATGGATGTCTGACACTGGATAGACAACCTATGTTCATGGAGTTTGGTATTTTTCATTCATGTGAACACATGCAAATATCTGCTACTACATATAAATTCAGAAAGATTGTGAGACAGGTTATCAGGAGACCTGAGTTAAGGCTCTTGTTTTGCCACTTGCAGTATGATGTAGAGAAAGTAATTTTACCTTTCTGAGCCTCAGTTTCCTCATCTGTAGTATAAGGGATGCTGGACTAAGTGACCTCAAGGTCCTATCCCAATCTAACATCCTGTATCCATAATGCTTCAAAAGATCTATATTCAACACTGTAAGTACTCAACCCACCAATGTAGTTTATTACTTAGTAAATAGTTTATGAGTTATTTTGACAAAAAAAGAAATCATTTGGTACCAACTGTCTGGTAAGGCATCTCTCCAAGTATAGCTAGTCTGATTTTGTGGTTGGATCCATGCTTGAAACTTTCCAGCTTAGTAAGAACTACTAGAGTTGCTCTGCCGATATAGACTTAGAAGACTCAGAGAAATCATACCACAGTAAGGCAGAGAAGTAGAATTTTAGAACATGTATGTGTGTGTTGAGAAACTCCCAGCATAGAAACTCCCTCTACCTAGCCAGAAGGCATTTCATGTATAATACAGTCTTTAGAGTTATGTGTTATATAGCCTCAGCCTCATAGACATAAGTCTTATAGAGCCTCAAGCCACTGAGAGGTTAAACCCACAGTCACAGCCTGGATATATCAGAGGCAGAACTTGAACCCAGATGTTTCCATTAGTTTCTCCAGCTCATTTTACAGATGAGGAAACTGACGCAAACAGGGTTAAGTGACTTGCCTGTGGTCACACAGCTACTAAGTGTCTAAGGCTGAATATGAATTCATGAAGATGACTCTTCCTGATTCCAAGCCCAGTGTTCCATCCACTATGTCACCTAGCTGCCCTAGCATATGATAGTAATTCATACTGATGAAACATTTTATAGTTTGTATATGATTTGCTCACAAAAATCTTGTGAAATAAGCAGTGTAAGTCTTATTTACAATTTACAGAGGAGAAAACTGAGGATCAGAAAAGTAAATGCCCTAGATCACATAGCTAGTTGATTGTTAATGTGGGACTAATAATAATAATGATTATAGTATTTATTAAGTGCCTACCATGTGCCAGGCACTGCACTACTTGATTTAAAATATTATTTGATCTTCACAACAACCCAGGAAAGTAGGTGCAATTACTACCTCCCTTTTACTGTGGAGGAAACTGAGGCAAACAGAGGTTAATTGACTTGCCCAAGGTCACACAGTGTCAGAGGTCAGATTTGAACTCATGTTTTCCTGACTCTAGGCCCAGCACTATATATCCATCTTCAATTCCAGAATATTTTAGCTCCTTGATCTTCTTTTAAAATAAAAAAATATGTTATAACATAGTCTTAACATGGATTTGGAGTGATAGGAATAATATATATTGGTTTAGATAATTTCTATTAAAAAATTTTAAATACATCATCTACTTGTCACATTATAAGATAGTGTTGCAAATATAGACTGAGCATAATTGGACCCACATTGTTTTAGGGGATATAGCAATTCTTAATTTTAATCAAGTGCTTCATAACCTCATCCTAAAGAAGAGGAAGATTTCAGAGGATGGCTAGTACTTGTGTGCTTTATAGAAAAAGTGCTCCCCCTACCGACTTTGCAGTGACTGCCTCACAAAACTTCAAGTTTTTCTAGAAGTAGAGCCCTGATTTATGACATTAATGGGACTGTAGAAATGTGGAAACATAAAGAAGCCATCAAAATAAAGACTGTAAATAAAAACTAAAAAAGCAAAATGGGGAAGCATTCTGTCAAAACTTACTGAGATATTTAATATTTTGAATGAATTCAACGGAATATCATTTTAGAGCTGAAGAGGGCCTTAGCATGGACCTCAGGAATATATGTCTCATGTTGGAGAAGCAGCTTAGCTAGGTTCAGAAAGACTTCATCACTAAAGTTGACCAGTGTATACTTAATCACAAAATCAGTCACAGAATGATTATTTTGGCTACAGAAATTCTCGAAGACTATTGAGTTGAGAGCTACACCAGTGGCTTGAATAACTTCATTGACCAAAATAGAGATCATTCTGTTGGGTCTTTAAGGAAAATATTTTAATTCTCCCAGCAAACCATGAGGACTATTGACAAGTGACCTTTTAAAAAAAAAGTTCTTAAGGTGATTTAAAAATATTTAAATAAAATTTTAATTTTAATATTTAATATTTAAAAAATAAATACTTATGTTAACTGGAATCATGAAAGATATCAAGTAGCTAATAATACCCAACAGATTATTATTTGCTGCTAATTGGAATCCATATGGCATGGTTTATGTGTATAACATAGACCTTTATATAGTCCTAGATAAAGTAAGCTTGAGGCCTGCACATCAGTGTTGCTCTGTATACTTGCTCAGAATCTATTGTCAATTAAGATTTTAAGATTTGGAGCATATAGACTAATCTCTTTTAACTTTCAGGTGGTGATTCTCTTTTTTTTTCTTTAATTTTTTTAACATTTTTTTTTTACATTTTGAGTTACAAATTCTCTACCTCCTTCCCACCCATTGAGAAGGCAAGCAATATGATATCAATTATACATGTGAAATTATGCAATTAATATTTCCATATTAGCCCTGTTGGAAAAAAAACAAGAAAAATCAAGAAACATAAAAAAGTGAAAAAGTATGTTTTAATCTGCACTCAGAGTTCATCAGTTCTTTCTCTGGAGTTTGGAATTGTCTTGGATCATTGTCCTGATCAGAGTAACTAAGCCATCCATAAATGATTATCATACAATATTGCTGTTACTGTGAACAATGTCCTCTGGGTTCTGCTCACTTCACTCTGCATCAGTTCACGTAAGTCTTCCCAGGTTTTTCTAAAACCATCCTGCTCATCATTTCTTATAGCACAATAATACTCCATCACAATTACAGATCACAACTTGTTCAGCCATTCCCCAATTGATGGGCATCCTCTCAATTTTCCAGTTCTTTGCCACCAGAAAAAGAACTGCTATAAGTATTTTTGTACATCTAAGTTCTTTTCCTTTTTTTTTTTATCTCTTTGGGACACAGATCCAGTAGCATTTTGTTGGATCAAGGTGTATGCACAGTTTGATAGCCCTTTGGTCATAGTTCTAAGTTGTTCTCCAGAATTCTTGGACCAGTTCACAACTTTAAGTGAAGATTCTTGAAGCTTTCTCAGTATGAAGTGATAAAGCCAAATTTATGCTACCCAAAGTTAGATTGTGTTTTAAAATTTTATTCTAAA